TGAGACTATCACAGAGCAGGTGCATTTATACAGAGACTTGATTACACACAGATGGATTCTATTTATCATCATCAGTCATTTGGGACAACATTGGATCATTCATAGATCCTCACTGAACTTCTGGAGTGAGTTTGCTGCACTGAAAGTAAAGGGGCTGAATAATATTGCACGCCCCACTTTTCAGTTTTTTATTTGTTAAAAAAGTTTGACACATCCAATAAATTTCCTTCCACTCCACAATTGTGTCCCACTTGTTGATTCTTCACAAAAAAATGGGTTTTTTTTATCTTTATGTTTGAAGCCTGAAATGTGGCAAAAGGTTGAAAAGTTCAAGGGGGCCGAATACTTTCGCAAGGCACTGTACATCTGTAGGTGGGTTAAAGTGTTGGCAACAGTTTTCTGTATCAAAGATTTAAAACAGGGAATAACACAAGTCATGAAAACACAAAACATTATAAGAATAAGGTTAGTACTTGTGCTTTATTCCCTAGGATGCTGCGTGAATGCTGTGGAAAAACCTCCCGGGGCTGATGATCTTTGTTTCTGTTTTTTGGAAGGAAAACACGACATCGCCTCACGCCCCTTATGACAACAACCTGTAAAGGTCCACTCAGCATCCTTTACAAATCTAGGAAGGACATTATGTTTCTTTGATTCAGAGTGACATGAATTATCTTTGAAATCAGCATTCTTGTGCAGGGAATCACGCAAGCAGCCAAGCAACAATATAAGATCAATATTACACCGACAGGAACCATGATTTTCAATAGTATTTGCTGGAAACACACAAAAATTCACACAAGGACATAATCCCTGCTAAAATCCCCCAAACCAAGTTCACTGTCCAGGGATTTTGTAACAAACCTATTGTATTTGAAAACAGTAATTTTTTTTTCCCCAACTAGTGTTTGTGTGCCTTTTTAATTGAAAAAGTTTGTACTCTGTTCTCCCAAAATGACCAAATAAAAGACAACAACCACAATTTTAAATTTCCCCCTCGGCGTTTCTGCACTTCGATAAGTTTGGAGGCCCTCCCACGTGAGGGATCCATTGATGCTCAGCGGTATATAAATACTAGGACCGCAGAGATGTCTTTGTGTGTGTCAAAGTCTCTATATCAGGATGTTCAACGAGTAAGGTGGCGTGTGTGTGTTGGGGATCCTATATGTAGTGTGTCCATCTTCTGTCGGAGAGGGGCAGAGAGTTCAGTTCATTTATTTTTTGTTTGTGTGTGTGTTCGTCATGCAGCTATGTCAATGAGAGTGGATTTTGCTGCTTCGGAAGGAGCAAGCAGGGCCACTTGAGACAGACTTTCCCAATGCAGTGGGGGCATTGAACCTGTTCTAGAAACTACTCCATCAACAATTCAATCACTCTCCGTTGTTAGATTGTCATTTCTACTTTTACCAACCCTAACCTGTTGCACATCCTTTCAAGCCTAATCCCTCTGTTTTGCCAGTTGATACAAGCCCTTATGTCCCTATTTAGTGTTCAAATTATTTGTTGTGATACAAACAAGATATAGACTACGAAATAAAAATAGGTTTATATGCATAACTTTATATTTTTTTTTTTCAGTATTAAACAGGTACAATTACGATTTTTACATACTTGCAACTGCAGTCTGTGAATGTTATGTACTTTACAAGGAAAGAGTCTAACAGTTCAGTGGAAATACATTTTGAGTGTTTGGAATACAGATAAACTTTTCTCAGTTAAAAGTAGTGAAATTATGTTGTTTACAACAAGATTCAGCCATGTAAAAAAATAAAATAAATAATATATATATATATTAGTGAGTGTGAGTGGCTTCTTGCCCATGAGTTCTTTCAAATTACTTTTTCTCCGCAGTGTGGATTCTCATGTGCTTGTTTAATTTGGCCTTACTGGTAAACATTCGGTTACAAAAATCACAACAAAATGTCTTCTGTCCTGTGTGGATTTTCATGTGTTTTTTCAA